AAAACCCATCTCCCTTCAACCATTTAAAAGTCGAATTAAGCCAAGTCAAGTGATCCAAGCCACCAGTCCATTGTAATAGAAGAAAACCGAACCTTTTTTTGTCGAGCTAAGCCAAGTCAAGTTGTGTTTAGGTTTTTTTTTATTTTTTATTTTTTTATTTGTTTTAATTTAATATTTTTTTAAATTAAAAATGGCTAAAAAATAATAATGACAATAAAAAATAAATAAACCTCACTAACATATTGAAAGGTTCAAATTTTTATTCTTACAAAATAAAAAAAATTAATAAATAAACCTTTAACATATTGAAACGTTTTAATTCTTAAAAATAAAAAGAAAAAGAATTTCTAAATAAATAAACTTTACCAACATACTGGAAGGTTTAAATTTTGAAAACGAATTTTGAATAAATAAACCTTATCAATATATTGGAAGGTTTCAGTTTTAAAAAAAATAAATTTTTAGCAATTTTTACTAACATATTGGAGAGTTAAAATTTTAACAACAAATTTTGAGAAATAAACCTTATCAACTTATTGGAAGCTTTTGTGATTTTTTTAGAATTTAAAAATAATGTTGTACCAATATATTAGAAAATTCTATAAATTTTTGACAAAAATAAAAAAGAAAGAATTTTCATGAACATTCATTCTAGACAATAATCAATAGTTTTTAAAAGATGTGACCACATGTGGTAAAATATTAATTCATTTTTAGGAAGATATTTGTAGAGGGCAATGTCCAATGCTATTTTTGAAAATTTTTGTGAAATGCTTAAGAAATGTGTTTGAATCTCAATTCTCATTATGGGAAATAGGTGAATACTATGATAAAAAAAGATATTTCTGGAGCAAGAAAAATACCAAATGTAAGGGACCACTATTGAAATTTTATAAACAAAAAGAATGACTTTCAAGAATGAAAATGTTTTGAGTTTGTTTACTTAAGATCTTGCCATTTTAGATAAGAAACCTTTGATATAGAAATCGAACAAGATTTTATCTCAAGGCATGTTTGTTAAAACTTTTTAATATCAATTTTGAAAACCTTCAAGTAATTCTTCTTAAAACCTCTATGTACATCTTTAAAATATTTGAAATGTTTTCAAAGTCTTTCGAGCATGATTTATAAGATTTCGGGGTATGATCTCTTAAAACCTTTAGGTATCTTTTTCAAATTTTAAAGTTGTGAAACCTTTGTTTTAAAAGAGCATTTTTTAAAGATTGATTTATAAGACCTTCATAAATAATCATTAAGACCTTGAGGTATGAGATAAAAATGATTTGTAAAACCTTTGGATAGAATTTCAAAGTCCTCTAGATACGATCTAGAAGACCTCCTAGTATGATATTTAAAACCTCCGGGTATCCTTTTTAAATTTTAAAATGGTTAAGCCTTTGTTTTAAAAGAGTCTTTTTCAAAGTTTGATATGTAAAATCTTCAAGTATAATTTCAAAATCCTACAGATACAATCTATAAGACAGTTGAGCAGGATTTTTAAAACAAACCTCTTAATATCTTTTACAAATTTTAAAGTTGTGTGTCTTCATATTAAAGAAGCCATTGATTCTTAATAGTGCGATGCCCTTATTTTTTAGGAATCTTTCATAAAAAGAATGTTGAATTATTTGGGATCGAACAAACTAGATGTTTATGTCTTTGTAAAATTTTCGTTTCGCAAAAATTATGCAATTATAGATACCTTATTTAGTCCAAGCTCAAACCATCTGGGCTCAAACTCAATTCAACCCTAATTGTTGAATTTTGATTTTTTTTTATTATCATTATTTTTATCCTTTTATTGTATTATCTGTATATGTATATTATTTTTTTTTAAATCTTATTTATCATTTCTATTTTATCATTTGTTGTTTATCTCATTAGTTAATTTAATTATTTAATTTCGTTTGTCTTGTTTTTTACTGTTAACTATCTGGTTATCTAAAAAAAAAGAAAAAATTAAAAATTAAAATTTCATTGGTTAAAATCTTTATAATCTCATGAATGGGAGATAAATTTTGAAAATAATGCATGCGTTTTAAAATTCAATCATATCCTAAGATCTTATCTCTGAAGGATTTCTGACTCTATATAAAACAAAGGCTTGTAATAGATTAACATAAAGAAAACAGAAAAGAAAGTGCATAAACAATAAGCAATGAAAACAATTTTGTACAGGGATAAAAGTTTTTTTAAGGAGTTTATTAAAGTTTAGGATTTAATTTGAGAGAGTGCTCAAAATATTGGAGTTTAAAGAGGAAAATGATAAAAAAAATCTAACATTTTTGTTCAAAATTTTTGTTGTTTGGAAATTTTTAGTTTTTCAATGAGCTTTTCGATCAACTTTAAAGTTTCTCACTAGTTTTCTAACCAAATTCTCAATTTTTGATGGGTTTTTCAATGACTTCCTTAACACCCAACAACCTTTCTAGAATCCAACGATCAAATCCAAATTCTAGTGTTATTTTTAGCCAAAATCTCATATTCCAACTAGCCTTGAAGATTTCGATGATCGAAATCTGAGAAAAAAAAAAGAGAGAAAGAAAAGATTTGGGAGGAGAGAGAAAGAAAAAAATAAGGAGAAAGAAAAATTTTGAAAAAAAAAGATTTTTTCTCTTTTATACAAAGCCCAAAACAACGTCGTTTTGCACATTTCAATTCTATCAACCCATGTGCTTTACCACTTAACTGACCCAACCTACGTGCATTTGACCCAAAAACCCATCTCCTTTTAACCATTTAAGAGCCGAGCCAAATCGAGTTAGATGAGCCAAGCCATTAGTCCATTGCAATAGAAGGAAACCAAGCCATTTTTTGCCAAACCAAGCTGAGTTAAGCTGCGTTTAGGTTTTTTATTTTTGTTTGTTTATTTTGATATTTTTTAATTTAGTATTTTTTTAAAATTAAAAATGGCTAAAAAGTAATAATGATAATAAAAAATAAATAAACCTCACTAACATATTAAAAGGTTAAAATTTTTATTCTTAAGAAAATAAAAATAATTTTTTTGAATAAATAAACATTATTGACATATTGAAAAGTTTAAATTCTTAAAAACAAAAAGAAAATGAATTTATAAATAAATAAACCTTACCAACATATTAGAAGGTTTAAATTTTGAAAATTATTTTTTAACAAACCTTACCAATATATTGGAAGGTTTGTGATTTTTTTACAATATAGAAATAAGGTTTTATCAACATATTAGAAAATTTTATAAATTTTTTACAAAAATAAAAAGAAATAATTTTCATGAACATCCTACCAACAAATTGGAGAATAATTTTGACAAAAAATCTTTTCAATATATTGGAAGATATTTCTGAAAATAAATTGTTTTATATGAAAATTAGATTTTGAATCATCCAATAATGGAATTACTAAGAACATTGCAAATAACAGTGTCTATATAAATTTTTAGGTAAGAAATCTTATCTAAATTTTATCAACATATTGCAGAATTTAGATAAATATTTTCCATATCAAAATTTTAAATTTCACTTTGTTATGAAAAAGAGTTTTTTTTAAAAAAAATTAAATAAATCCAATGATGAAACCTCTTTGAGTGTAACAAATAGTCTTTTTTAATACTCTTAAGGTAAAGAAATGTCTTAAAATTATTACCAACGTATTGAAGTAATTTAAGGTCATTTTCCAATATTAAATTATTTGATAAAATCTTTTAAGGTTTTGGGTAACATAAAATCAACTGGTATTATCGTTTGAATGGGCATGGTAGGGGTGTTATAACCTTTTCTACACGTAACCATACTCTTAGACTTAGTTCTAGTTTTGTAGACTAAAACCTACATTTTAAAGATATCTAAGTTAAATTTAATATTTCTCTTTAAAGTGTAATAGATTCAGTTAGATGATCAATCGCATTTAAATAAAAAATATTGATGGTGACTTCTCTAATTGTGTCTAGTGATAGGTTCATAGACCTCTAGTTGTGACAGAAAACAATCAAGTTCTTAATCTTCAATTTCAACTTAATTAAACCCTTAATTTGTCGAAATCTAGTTACTTGGTAAAATTGAATTAATCAATACCTAAATGAATCCGATGATTGAGCCTCTTCGAGCGTGATAAACAGTTTTCTTGATTACTCCTAAGGTGAAAGAATGCCTTAAAATTATTATCAATGTATTGAAGTAATTTAAGGTCACTTTTAAATATTAAATTACTCGATAAAATCTTTTAAGGATTTGGGTAATACAAAATTAACTGATACTGTTATTTGAATAGGCATCATAGGTGTGTTATAATATTTTCTACACGTAACTATACTTCTAGACTTAGTTTTAGTTTCGTAGACTAAAACTTTTTTTAAAAAGATATTCCAATCAAACTTGATATTTCTCTTTAAAATATGATAGGTTCAGTTAAGTGGCCAATCATATCTAATAAAAAATATTGATGACGACTCTTCTAATTTTATCTAGCTATAGATTCACAAACCTCTAGTTGTGACAACAATCAATCAAGTGATTAATCTTCTATTTCAACTTAATTAGACCCTTAATTGGATGAAATCTAGTTACTTGGTAAAATTGAATTAATCATACTTAAACTATAATCAATTGACTACTTGAGGGATTTTACAAAAAAAAAAAAGAAAAAAATATTATTTTATTTAATTTTCATATATATTAATTATGTTGTATGGTAAACTTTTATTTATTTTATTAATATCATATAAAATTTTATCTTAATTGATAAAAAAATTAATGATATTAAATTTTTTATTTAAATAAAAATTTAATTATATACAAATAAATATTAGATGAGTCAATTGATTATAATAAAAAAATAAAACTTAAATGATTTTATAATTATAGTTTTGGATATTCTATACCCTTTTAACCTCCTATAAATCATAGAGTGTGCTTGGCTCCTAAAACGCAGCATTTCCTCGTTAAGATAATCCCTCTTATAACAATAATTTTGACTTCCATCCGCTAATCAAATAAAGCCACGTAAGCATTGAAATTCCATTACAATTTCACTCAGCAAGAAAGAAAAAACCAGAACAAACAACAAAAACTAAAGGGAAAAAATCGAAACTCTTCCTTGGCAGTTAGCATCGGTCGTTGACGCAAAAAAAGAAAGCTTTACAAAGAGAAGTTTATTTTCGAGGATTGATTAATTAAATGGGTGAGGTGCTGAGAATCTGAAAGCTTCCTCTGATACGCAACAACAAGGACGCTTTACTCTATTAAACGGCGCCTCTTTTATTAATCCACTGGGTATGGCCTCATCGTCGTCTTTATCGTCATCCAAGGATTACCTGATTCAGCTGATTAAGCGCCTGGGAACTTATCTCACCCTCAAAATGTCCAATATCTTCTCGATCTCTCTCCAGAAACTGGTTCTTTTCTTTCTCTCATAAATTTTCTTGTCTTTCTTGTTCAGCGGATCTGATGCGCCTTTTTGCTGCTGATAAACGCAATTTCTTTTTTCTATTATTTAGTTATATGATTTAGGTATTTATTGGTGATTATAGCGGAATTTGATTTGGTTATTGATTGTTAATTTGGTCACACTAATTTTTGGGTAAGAATTTTGTTTACCGGAGAAACTATAATATTGGAGCAATTAATATTATTTCAGCTTTAAATTTCTCGTACTCAAGTTATATTCTCCTATCAATTTACTATATGATGAATTGGTACTGACTAGAAATAGTGTTAATTCGTCTCAAATGCTACTTCATTTTTAAACTAATTGATTTTTGAGCTATAGTCCTATACCAAAGAGTGAAAATGCTATATTGAGGCGAAAACCATCTCAAATCCATAGTACTGGCATGATTAATAACCTCTGCGATTTGTATAATGCACCACAGCAGAAGTTTTGGTGAAAAATGACGGTTGTAAGAAGGCATGGCCATTGTCCGTTGCTGAAATAAGAAATGAAGTTTTTTTTTTTTGGGAGGGTGGGGCACCAGGCATGTAGAACTGCTCATATTTTCATCTGTCATTTTCTTTTCAACTCATACAAAACTATTATGTGTAACTGAAATGTGCAATGTTTCAATGGTGATCTGTTTGATTCTTACCTTGTCCATATTGGCATCAGGATCCACGATCTGTTGGAGCTGTTGCAGGGCTTGCTGTTGCAATTATCTTTACCTTTAGATTGATGAGATCACCTGCAGCACCTCCAAGAAGGCAACCAAAACGTCAAGCTCCAACAACTAGTACCTCTGCTATCAGTACTCAGTCAAATGCAACATTGATGCCTTCTGGAGTTTCTTCCTCTTCAGTGGATTTAAGAGCACAAAATGTTGTCGATGAGTTCTTCCAGCCGGTGAAGGTATGCAGTTGCCTCTTTCTCCAACATTTTGATTTATTTATTATTATTTAGCTTGGCTTGTTTGTAATTTGCTTCTCTCTTTTCCTTCTTTTGCAGCCAACATTGGGCCAAATAGTTAGACAGAAATTGAGTGAAGGTAGAAAGGTAACTTACTCCTTAATGTAGTAAGCAAAATGTTTGGTGTTTATCTTAGTTGTGTCCTTTGTTTTCTGGAAGTAGGATTCTAGTAATCATACTCCTTTAGTAATGATTAATAACCGATTCTCACAAAAAAAGGGGAAAGGTTTTATTTGTAGAAATGGGATTCTTCAGAAGTGGACTGTGTACCCATTCTTTCTTAATGTGATTATAGGTGTCACTTTAAGCTAGGTTTGCTTGAAAAATTTTGGTTTATATGCTTGTAGTCAGGTAAACTGGCCTGGCTAACTGAACATCTTTTATGAACCCTCATAGAACCCTTGGATCCTGTTTGAGGGGTTTCCTCTTCTGACTATTAGGTTTTATGAGAGTCATGTTGCTGTCAACTGTTTAAATGGTTCAATTACCTTATCTGGTTTGTTCGTTGGACGCTTTATCAGAATAAATTGCTAAAGTAAATGTCAATAATACCAAAATCCAGTACATTCCGTGTAATCTCTACTTTCAACCAATTTGTGTTTGTCAATATTTTAACTAAATTGTTATCACAGTTTCTTGCCATTGTAAATTTAACTTCTAGAAATCTGCCTGCACCTTGAACGGGCACCCAAGTATTATATGACATGGCTTGGTTATTACTTAGACTGAGAGCCATTACCGGAAATTTGTTATAACAAGCTGCTACTAATGTAGAACAAATAACCCAGAATAACAATAATCAATAATTGTCTGAAATCTCAATTGTCGGCTACACTTAAACTAGTGGCAGAATCCAATGAATTGGTTCTGGCGCTTTTACTTGAGTCTGTACATTGGAATGGATGAGCCATTCACCATAGTTAATTAACTTCTCTTGTGAGTACTAGTAACTCAACTGAATTTTTCCTGATGCAACATAACCACCTAGTTTAACTCCCAGGTTTTCATGCTTAGTTCTGACTGTTAACTTTTTAAGTTTGGGGACATGTTCGTATTTAATGTTTATGCTGTTTTATAAAGCCATTGGTCAGAGCCTTTTTCTGGTCTCTCTAAGTTTAATGCTTTGATGACTTATTGGTGTAGGTAACATGTCGTTTGCTTGGAGTGATCCTTGAGGAAAGCTGTCCAGAGGAGCTGCAGGTGGGGAATCTTTCCTGTGAGCTTTGTATTTGTAACCGTTATCTGCCTTATAATTGATTTGATTCCTTTCGTTCTGGATAGAAACAAGCAACTGTAAAGTCCTCTGTGTTGGATGTGCTATTGGAGATTACCAAATTTTGTGATCTTTATCTCATGGAGAGAGTTATTGATGATGAAAGTGAAGTGAGTTCAAACCTTGTTCTATAGTATTAGCTTATGCTTATTTGCCAATGCTATAAATTTTCCTTAGATGTGTTTGATGACATATTAGGTGTTTCAAGGTTCTAATGGGCATATTCTTCTAATTACAAGCAAAACTCCAGGCCTTTTTTTTGCATTGGATGTGTAATATTCCTCCTCATATGTTGCGTGCATTAAGCTACAAGATATTTTTATATCATGTGTTTTCCCTCGTGACTAACTTTGTTAAGTGTTTTTCTGCAGAAAAATGTTCTTCTGGCCTTGGAAAATGCAGGGATTTTCACCTCTGGTGGTTTGGTAAAGGACAAGGTATGTAATTGTGACGATTGTGATTGTACATAATTTTGCTTAGATATCTCAAATTGAAATGATCCTCCAGTCAGGGGCATTATGTTGGACTGTGAAATCTGGTGCCTGCTATAAAATATTATAATGTAAATTGGTTGATTATGCTTTCTTTTCAGATTTCAGAATATCGATATTCTATCCTCCTGTTTTGGATCATATATTAAATGTTTACTTTGCCTGAAATCAATATGCAGGTTCTCTTTTGTAGCACAGAGAATGGACGGACATCTTTTGTTCGGCAACTAGAACCTGATTGGCATATTGACACAAATCCTGAAATAGTTTCTCAGTTAGCTGTATAATTTCATTACTTGCCATAATCTTCAAGATAGTTTTTTGACAGCTGCACTTAGAATATTATGATATTAGATTTGAAGTCATATTCTCGTCACAATGCCTATGTGATATTAGATTCTGAAGTTATTTTCTCTTCACAATGCCTATGATTTTGTTTTTTTTTTTTCTTTGCAGAGGTTCATCAAATATCAGCTTCATGTTTCAGCTGTCAGACCTGAACGGACTGCAGCTAATGTATTAAGTTCTCCATCATTGGAACACTTCTTTGGATGTGATTGACACTTGCACTGGTAAAAAGATGCAAATATGTTTTAAAGTTGTTCTTTACTCCCCTTTGGTCTTTATGTGCGACTCTTTACAACCCAATGTTTTCTTTCTTTTGGCACCCATGTGCTGATGTCAGCTTTTATGATAAGCGAGAAGATTTATTTGTTTGAAATATGTGAAATAGGGTTAACATTCGAACGCTTTTGAAGCAGAGAAAATTAATGTTTGTAATTTATGTTAGTCAAAGGATATGCAATAATAAGAAGTAATTTTGTTGCTCCACTGAGTTTGCCTGGTTTCAGTTAGTCTTATAATATTGCTCGTATTCTTACTATGGTCTGCCTTGGGTTGTTTCTTTCGTTAATTTTTTGTACGGGAGTATTTGCATGAAAACAGCTTTAGATGATAATCTGGTAGTGTTGGGTTTTGGGTGGAGAGCTGGAGGGCCTTTCTTCATACAGCTGTTTTACTTTGTGAATGTTACTCTGCTCTTACTGCTTCTAAGCATTGGTATTTGACAAAAGAATGCTATTTTGCTTGGAGTGTCGCCAAATAACTGTTGGAAAACTGGAAATTACAAAAATTTAACTAACTTATCAGAGGCTTAGCTTGTAGCCAAATACTTCCTAATCAAAGTCACACTTACTGGGGATGTTTCATGGAGGGGAAGCAGAGAGGACACTTTAATAATTTCCATACTTAAATAACATTTTAGCAATAAATTGATGTTTAGAAGGAACTTGAGTTGTGGTCACTCTTGAATCTCGATACAGCACATGCTTTTCGGTCAGATCTATAGATGAAGTGGTAAGCCTAATTACTCCATCCATCCATCTATTCAAGATCGATTGTCTGCATCCTCATTTAACATGTTTTCACAATATATATATATATATATATATATAAAATAATTATATTAATAATATCTTCTATTTCCAATGAAGTTTTTATAAAGTTTTTATACTTTACAAGTAAAATTAGCAGAAAAACACATTTTTTAAAGTACATTAAAAATTTTTTAAAAAGACATAATTTAATCTTTTAATCTCTTTTGTGAAATTGATTTTATATAAATAATTTTCAAATTTGAGAGTAAAATAATTGTATATAAAAACAATGCTTTATTTTATTAAATATAAAAAGTAGTGAGTGTTTTGAAATTAACATTATTTATAAAATATAAAGCATTTTCATTTTCACGTTCGTAACTCCTTTTAGAAAATTAAGATTAGAAGTGAAACAAACTTATTTAATTTAATATTAATGGGTTACGTAATTATTTTTAAAAAATTTCATTTAACATATTTAAAATTCAAATTTTAATACTTATATATTTCTTTTTATTCACTCTTTTGTTAAAAAAAATAATAATAATAATTTGTCATACTATTTCACTTTATTCAAGTCTCACTGAAATAGCTCCAATTATTTATCGGCTCCAAAAAAACTAAACAAAAAAAAAATGGAAATGTCTTTTTTTTAAAAAAAAAAAAAAAAGGTCGTAAGAGCACAGTAGACCCGGGGGTCATGCAGTAGGCACCTGATTTCCTGGCGGCTTCAAATATAAATCCCTGACTGACCCAGAGTCCAGTTTGTTTCTAGTCCGGAGCTTACAAGTTAGAAGTGGAAGAGGTAGCAGCAGAATAGCAAAGCAATGGAACTCATGTGCCCGATCGATCAACACTGCTCTCATCAAATCGCCGCTCTTCTCCAGCCTCCCTCTCCTCTCCTTGTCCAGGCACGCACTCTCTCTTCCCTTTTCTTTCCCCTTCTTCCCCTCTATCTTGTTCAGCCCAGTCCGTTTCTCTACTTTATCAAACGCAGGAGTATTTCGAGCAGCTTATTTCGAAACGGCAATTGCACGGCATCAAAGTGAAACAAAACGGTGAATTTGGAAAAGGTACAATTTTAATTTTATTTTCCATTAATTACTTTTTGTATGAAGTTATAATTGAGTAATTCGTTCCGTAGGTGTGTTTGCCGAAACGAACTTTGAAGAGGAACAACTTATTTTGAAGGACCAAATGCTTGTTGGGATCCAGCATCCTTCAAACAAGGTCATTTTTTTTATATTCATTATACTTTTTTTTTCTTTAATTCCTGTTTAATGGCTTACCCTTTTGATTTTCTTTGGTCAATTTTGCAGATTGACTGTTTAGTTTGCAGTTATTGTTTCAAATTTATCGGTTCAATAGAGCAACAAATCGGACGAAAACTGTACCTGAAGACACTAGGAGTAGGAATTTCTCCACATAATGGAAAGGGATGTCATGACAATTCATCTGATAAAGACCAAGACAATCATTTTGTTCAAAATCACCATAATTCGGATGATGGAGCTTCTAGTAGTTCCAATAGTACTATTCCTTTGCCTACAATGGCTGTGGAATCGTTAATGAATGGCGAATTGGCATTGCCTTACTCCAACAAGTTTCCCTTGCCTTCTGTCGTTTCATGCCCTGGGGGATGTGAAGAAGCTTTCTATTGTAGGTAAGTTAAAATTGCCATTTTTTGTATGTCACTAACATTTTTATCCTTTTTAAGCTAACATTTAGTTTCTTTAAATGATGAAGCAAATCATGCGCTGAGGCTGATTGGGAGTCGTTTCATTGCTTACTTTGTACTGGAGAGAAATCCGAGTTTCATTCTAGAGAGACACTTTTAAAATTCATACAACATGCTAATGGTAAATCTTTGACATCTTAGAGTTATTAATGTTAAGACACTAATGCTTTTTTTTTCCTTAGGAATTTCCCATTTCCTTATGTTATTTCTTACCTTGGTTCTCTGTTTTCCTTTTTATAACTTGTTGTCTTATTCTCTTTAACTTTCTCAGAAACAAATGACATTTTCCTCCTTGCTGCCAAGGTATTAAAGCTGTTAACTTCTTCATTCTATCTTTAGGTTTTGGTATGCATCATTCATACATGATATATTTCTTTCATTGGACTTTGAAGTACTAAGTAGGGTGCTTTATAGGTTTACTTTATCTTGAGCATCTTCGATAATATTTCCTTGGGTTCCATGTTTCAGGCAATTTCTTTCACCATTTTAAGGTATCGGAAGTTGAAAGCATGTCATCTGAGAGAACAGGAGAAGACTGCAACGAGTATGTTAGGAACTTCTGATCTATCCTTACTTTTGGAGGCATGGAAGCCAATATCAATTGGACATAAGAGAAGGTAAGCATCTTTGACGTCACTTTCCTTTATATTGCCTAGGAATAGGTTCTGGCTGATTTTGATACCTTCAATTTATAATATAAGGAATAAGTATCTCCCCAGGCTGGTTCTTGAATTTTGAGAATGAAACTCTCCGATGAATATTTGTTAACTCTAGAGATTGATAAATGTTACATTACATTATGCCTTGTTATTTAGCCTGTTTCCCAATATTTTAATATCTCAATTCTTTATATTTGCATGTATGGAAATAAAAGCGTAATGTTGGATTCAAAGGCTTTTGGATACATTGTGCTTAAAGAGGATCACTGACTTTTTCTTCCCATAGGTGGTGGGACTGTATTGCATTGCCAGATGACATTGATACATCTGATGAAGCCACATTTAGGAGGCAAATAAGGGAGCTCGCATTCACAGTAAGATTTCCTTGTATAGGTGGTGCATGTGACATGCAAAGATAATGCAGATTTAGTAGTCTTTTTAATTATTCTGCTCTTTAAAGTCATATCTTGACAGGTTATTTTGAACACTTGCAGTCACTTCAGCTCCTCAAGGAAGCCATTTTTGACAAGGAATGTGAGCCATGTATCCTGTCCATAAGCATCGAAGCAATTGATGTAGTTATTTTCTAAGTAATGTTGCTCTTACTTAAAAGTTTATAAACTCAAGTCCTTAACCTTACCTAGTATTCTCCCTTGAAATCTATGGGCATATAATTGGCATGTTCGAGCTCAATAATCTGTAAGGTCCATTACACCTGTTTTAGTTTCTTGTGTTGCAGAATTTGTGCATAGTAAGAATGGTAGCAGCAATAGCTTGATTTAGCCTTGGAAGCAAACTTGCATTTATGCTTCATAACATGAATGTTAATCATATTTCTGATTTGCTTGAGCCTTTAAAGTAGTGATTTGGAGTTCCATCTGTAACAGTGATCTTGTTGTAGCATCTTCAGTGGAAGATTACTTTTTGTATGTCGATGATCTTCCATATCCTGAAAAGGTTAGAAGACATGCCCTTTTGATTGCCTAATACTATTCTTTGGATTATGAATATCTGGTGCAATTAATTTCCTATGTCATTCATGGCAGAAAGAGGCTGAGAAAATTACACAACCATATCTAGATGCCCTTGGTGATGACTATTCCATTTGTTGCCAAGGTATAACCCTCTGTAAGATATTAAGTAATGACTGCCGGTTTCTTATGCCTCTTATTATGTTGATAGTGTTCATTTCTAGTTGAATCCTATTGTTCCTTGATGCATGCAAGTAATTCCTTCATACAGTGGATATTTATGCCTGCCTATTTGTAGAAATTACTGCATTACATATTATTTATTTCTGCCATCCATCTATAGTCGTGTAGTGATTAAATGTTGTTTTTAAAAATTATCTTTAGGTACTGCATTCTTTCCTTTGCAGAGTTGCATGAACCATTCTTGTTGTCCTAATGCAAAAGCATTCAAAAGAGACGAGGTACGTTTATGCTATAATAATACTTGTTCTGGTTCTTAGTGAACATATAGGTTAGTTTATCATTCTTTATGCAAACATGTACAACATTCTCTTTCAAGCATCATAGTTGTAGCTTTGTAAATTATCTGTATGATGTCCAGCTGTTTAATGTAATTTCTTTTTTTCCAGAGAGTTTTTTTCCTTTTTTTTTTGTTCCATTTTGGAATGAAATAGCTTCATTCATTGGTCCCCTCATATATTCTTCCCTTGCAGGATAGAGATGGCCAAGCGACAATTATTGCCCTCAGGCCTATTTGCAAGGGAGAAGAGGTAAATAATCCTTTCTCATCTTGTTAATTAAGAGTTAGCTGTTAAATCTTAATGAGAACCAAGATGACATGAATGACATTTTCAGGTGACCATTTCATACATAGACGAGGACCTTTCATTCGAAGAGAGGCAAGCATTACTTGCGGATTATGGTTTTAGATGCAGGTGCGCCAGGTGTTTGGATGAAGAACCCTAGACCTTAGTCAACATGTTGCCAAAATGCCAATGAAGTGGCTGTATTATAGCCATTACAAAACAAAAACTGTAAACGTGGGTGTGAGAAATATTAAATGTTAGTAAAAGAAGCCATGGAGGGAGCTGTTTCCCTTTGGATTGATACGTCATCAGAATGCAGATTCATTTGCCTGCTCCGAGGTCAACTAGAGCTGTATTTTCAATTCAGTTTTCACCTTTTCCTTCAATTTATTTAATTTAAGCAGAAAGAATTGACGGGACTAGGTCCTATCTTGATTTTCTTCTTCCATCCATTTATTCTTCTGTGTAATATATTACTTTTAACGTGGAGTAAACGGTTTTTGGCCTTGGATGTATATCATGCTTTAAGACTTTCAGTTAGGTTTTTTTTTTTTTTTTTTTTTTGCCAAGAAGACTTTCAATTAGTATATGGTGATAAGCTTCCATACAAATTTATTAAACTAAAAATAAAATAAAATAGAAGACAGAGCAGAGCTTAATCTTGAAATTATTGCATTTTAAGATAATTTTTAAGGTACAACGGTTACGGTAAATATAAAAGTTTAAGAGAGCTGAGCAGAACAGCTTATTCTATAGCGTCGTATTCACTTTGCTGCATGTTCAAAGGACGCTAGAGCAGAATCAGCAATGGTGGTACATAAAAACCGACCCTCAAACTTCGAAGTATATTTCCATGAAACTGGCCTTTTTTTACATAGAACTAGTCTTTGGCTTTTCCAGATGATGGATAGCTGTACGTGATGTAAGCCCCAAGTGCTAGGATCACCAAAACGGAGACCCCAATATTAATCAGCAACTGCCGATCTTCATAATCGTCCGTCGCAAGTCTCTTTACGGTCTTCATTATGGTTTCCATGCCTTTCATTTCCTTGGCTTTTTCCAGGAAGCTTTTACCACCCTCCTTCGGCTTCTCTTCCAAGGCACCACAAACCGTATCATATTTCTTTTCCTTTTCCGAAATCTTTGGAATATTGGTTTCAGACATGGTGGAATCTTTAGTCTTGCCGCTTTCCTCTTCTTTGACCAGATTCGGCAACCCATCTTTACTTTCAGCCTTTTTCTCAACAATTTCAGATGTAGAGCCTGCAGTCTTTTCTTGGGTTTGCTTTGTGGTTGTTGCAATTGGAAGAACTTTCTTTTGTGTTTCTTGTTGTTGATTTGATGGCTGCAAAGCCTCAACCTTCTTCCCATTAGTTTGTGCTTTTGGAGGAGCAATTTGAGGAACCGTTGCCGTTGGTGCTTTAGTCTGAGTTATGGCTGCTTTTTGAGGGGTTTGAGGGGGCTGTAGTTTTTCGTCTCTTTGGTTTTCAAAACCAGAGGTTAAAGCAGCTTTGGGAGGAGTAGCTTCTTTTTGGTCCTTCGTGGGCTTTTTCTCGCTGATGGCTTTCGGAGGTGTAGTTTCTTTGATGATACTTGCATCTTTTACAGGACCGACTTGAGTAATCGTCTGTTTTGGCATTGTGATGGTAAGAACATCATTTCTATAACTTCCTTCAATTTTTTCAATTATACAATTTTGTGGAACAGGGAAAGCCTGATTGAAACGACTTCGTCTGTTCCTCTCTAGTGCTCGTTCTCCCTCCACTTTAATCGTACGGGAGGAGCTAACATAGGTGACGCTTATTTGCTCCTTGGGGAAATCTGTAAAATGAAAAGAAGAAAAGAGAAATAAATCCCACCAGGAAAACTTCTTTCTCTATAAATTATTTGAATATGTAAATTAATCGTATACTTATATTGCATCTATTTTATATAAAAAAATATATAGAAAACACAAAAATAATTGTGTTGGCAAGTAAAATATAAAATATATTTTTTGCTTTTACCATATTTATATTTAATATTTTACTAAAATTTTGAATTATATTATTTTTATATCGTGTTAAATTAATAAATCTAACATAAAAAGCAAACCTGGCAAATGAATAAGTAGAATATAAGCTCCTTGCTCTTCCGTTTGTTCACATTGGGGTTGCAAATCCTCGTAAATACTAGTAGATACATTGGTTCGCGATCTCCCAGCCATGCTTCTTGTTTGGTTAGTGTTTATGAACTGATGCTTTGGGGATATTTTGAATTGATGCCTTTGTGATGGGAATGTGACTCTTCGCATATGATGCTTGCATATTTATATGGCATAGCACCGTATTTCTTAACAGCGACACTATCCTTTCTCGACCGCTTTGGTTTTGTGATATTACATGGGCTTGAATTTCCTTTGATCTTGTCTAAAGTCTTACTTCCTCTACAAATAAAGTACCAAGTTCTTTATTTGACCTAAAATTTAATACCACGAATCATGTCATACCGACGCTTTGAAACAGGTTTCCCCTGAAAGTTATATTCAATGCAATTTTTAATAGCTGAAAGCATTTGTTTCTAAAATCTATCATTATCACAAGTGAAATCCTACGCTTAGACCAGAATCTTTTTGTATGCAACAGTAGGATATGATCATGCCTTACCATGAAATTGGATAAAAATAAAAGCAAACCGCAGCTTTAAGATTACCCAGATATATATATACATGGAACTCCGAAATGAAACCAAAGTACGAAAGATACCATACATTTACAGCAACCAATTCATATATCAAAGGATATCGACGTGCGCCATCTCTTCCTCCGGTCCATCAATATCTATATCTATGTTCTGATCGTTACCCTCGTACTGCATGTCAAAGACAGCCCATATCAGAGCTCCAAACAAAAGAACAGAAACAAAGGTTCTTGATGAAAATGATTAATTGTGAAATAAGCAAGTGATGTAATCTATCCGCAATGTAGGCAACTCTCTGTGAAAATATAACTAACCTGCGAGTAACCATTTGGGATTATTGGTGGAGGCAGGGGAAGTAAAAATGGCAAGCCTGAGACCTCGACGTTCTCCTCCTCTTCAATTTCCAACACTTCATCATCATCAACTGCATGAGCAGCCATGCTTGTTGATGGCAATGAAACACCAGCATGTGCACTCTTCAACTGCAAAATTACATGGCAAAGGGTCAAAACTATTTACAAGAATAGGTCCCCCCCCCCCTTTTTCTGTCATCCACACTTAAGCAGAAACATTAGCAGACACTTGCTGTGATTAAAAATATGGTGCAGTTCCTTTAGTATGCTCTTTTCTGTGTGGTCTGAAATGGATTAGGCTGCAAAATAATTACTTTCAAGATATAGATGAAGTTCCCAAAGAAATCAAGGAAAATGCCAATCCTACTAGTTAGAGGGAGAAGGTAGAGCTTTTTAACAATAAAAGATATTCTCACTGATTTATCTTGGCAGAAACAGTAAAATTATTCTAGCCAAAAGCTTGTTTTCCCAAATTATCTACAACAAACAAGCTATCAAATATGACCTCACACGGTTAAATTAGACTGTCATCCTCTCTTTTGGTAGCTTTTTTCACATTCTTACCATTAATCCTTCGTCATATTCTTCATATAATAAAAGCAATATTAGATGTATAACTCTGGCATCAGTGTTAGACGGGTTTAAACTGAACAACTAAGCACTGCATTTTAACAAACACCTTTTAAAAAAATAAAAAAGGAAAAGAGAAGCTTGTGAATACTCCCTGCTGCATCCATAGATAAATAGTTGAAGAGGAAAGAGCACCTTATCTGCAGTAGATGTGCTAACTGAAACTTTCTTTCCCTTCCTCAGCTTCTCATTACTTGGCAAGTGCACAGCACTGCTGTTTCCATTGTTCAGTGAGCCATTTTCCTTGTCTATATTTGATTGAGTTGGGTGTTCACTCCACCGAGACCGCTTTCCCATTCGGATAGTTTCCATCTTACATCCTTTACCTGAGATTAAAACAGCAAAAAATACAATAAATCTATCAGCATAAAAAACAACTATACATAATATGCCACGTAAAATTAATTGGGAAAGTAACATAATTTTGAGAAAGCATGTAACTACTCTATGGTAAAAGATATAGTAAAACCATCAAGTTCTACTTTAGTTTCTAAAATGTCCCAGGAGTTTGATTCCAAAATCTTAGGAAACTAACCTCACAAGGAAAAATGAAGCAAGGCATCAATAAGGTTCCTTTCTATAAATCCAAATAAAATGAAAACCCCTATAAACTTGAATAAATTTTGGAAAAGAGGCAACAAGTACACAGCTGGTAAATTCGTTGTAACCAATTCCGTGTACCTGTTACAGGTTATGTCATATATTTACATGCATGTCTTCCACTTCTATATCTTCATGAAGGATATTTAAAAGGTCAGCAGTCAGCTCACAGTAATTTTCAGATAACATCCTATTTTCTCAATTAAGAATGACGCCTACAGGCTACAATCAAAAGTTACACAACTTTGATATACATGGAAATAATTAAGAGAATATAAATTGCAGGGATTAAGAAGAAATTCATTTTTTGTAGAGTCTAAATGTTCCACACAACATATATGCACAAATATTAACAAAGTACCATAACGAATGGGCATTTCAGTGATGTCCTGATTGGGACACAGCCTTTTCTTGCTCGGAGAAGAATTTCCCCTTCTCTCATTCTGTGGATAGGACATATGAGCGCCATTGGTCTCACCATCACTTACAATGTTGATGTTGGAATTCTCTTCATCACCACTGGTTCCAGAAATATTTAAGCCAAGCTGTTCTCCCAGCTTCTGCAGACGAGCTTGAGATCTACAATTTTACATAATATTAATTAAACAATAAAACCTACCAAACCCCAACAAGCACCTTTTTAGATTTCAGAATCAGGAAAAAAAAAAACCATATATCAGAATAAGATGATAGTATAAAGTAAAAGTTACCTTTCCAGTTCATCTTCTATCTGAGAGCAACGATTATATGCTTTGACAAACTTCTTGATTCTTGAAGTGATCCTGAATATTTAGAAGTCCATAGAAAATGGCTAAGCTAAGGATCATCCATGCACAAGGAACAGTTAAGCATAGCATGTCCCTATCAGTACAGTCTTGATTACCTTTTACATTCCTCTTTCTCTTTTTCTAATTGAGAATCAAGCTCCTCAATTTGAGAAGTAAGAGTATCTGCTTCTTGAACTTTCTCTTCCACAAAGATCTGTGGCAAAATCAAGCATCAAATTATACAACTAAAATCCATTTCAAAAGTTCCAAAGATAAAAAAGTGATTGTCTTAGAGGGATGAAGAAAGTCATTATCATATCAATAACAAAAAACAACATTTCATCCTGTGAACTACGTGGCTTAACTGTTCAACCTGACTATCTGGACCCGTCAACTGAAATAATTAATTCTAGTTGCCTTTTTTTGGTCAAGTATACCCTTTTCTCTCTTTAATTCACATGTTTAAAAAACACATTAATGATCTAATCTCAATAACAAATACATACCTGGAGAGAAATCTGTGCAACCATGTTGATATGTTAGGCTTAATAAATTGACAAGCTATACAAAAGTTCAATTAAGCTACCCTTCAGGAGGTCATGTACCAGAAAAAACTAAAAGACATGAAACATCACAAACATTGACAAATAGAGTTCCAGCAGCAATTTTAAATTATACTTTTTCAATCTAATATGATGAGACACAGCCCAAGTGGTAAAGGGAGATGGAGGAACTTAAGGCCAATTATTTGATTAAAAAAATTATAAAGAAAATCAAACAAACAAGAGCAAAACTCGATTGCTTTGACCCTGCAATTTTCAGATTGGAAATTACAGGCCAAATCATTCTCCATAGAAGAATCATGTCCTTCACGGAACAAATAATAAGACTTTCCTTCCCCAAGAACCAAGATGACTAATATGTTGGCAAGTTAGAACATAAAAGGTAAAAGCAATGAGAGGTAAAGCATTCTGCATTAACGGTCACATATGAAGGCGCATGCGCATTCACATCCATACATTCACTTGAGCATGTGTCCACATGCTTACAAGGAAGTATCCATACTCATGATTGAAGCCAATAAGCAAAAGCAGTTGGGTAGAGATTAACTGACCTCTAATTCATGCTTGTCGTCTGTAAGCATGTTAACATCCAAGCATACTTTTTTCAACTGCAAAATATATATATATATATATATATATATATATATATATATATAAAGACGGTGGTGTCAAAGGATTAGATGGTGTTAAAAAATACCAAAATTAAGTTTAGACCAAAATCTTCATACCTGATCCTCAAGAATACTTTTGGGAGTAGGAGATATGTTTCTCCCTTCTATAACCAGATCTTCAATCTCATTTGAAAATGTCAAATTTTCAGAAAAATCACTTTGTCCATCCACGCGTTCTTTCTTATGATTTCTGCCACTCAAACAGAGACTACAGCATTTTCAACTGAGTTACATGCAAAGAAGAAGATAACAACCATATAAAAGCAAATGAGTATACAATTACAATAGACCAGCCATTATACATGGTGTTAGAAGTCATGTTGAACCAACTTCAGAGACCTGAATTTTAAAGTCTGGAGAAAAGTATATATAGCCCCTTTGAGGTTTTGTAAAAAATGTACTAAACACCCCAGAAGTGCATTTTACTAAGTTAATTTTAAATGAAAAGACAAATGTATTCTTTGTTAATTATTAAATACTTATTTCTCTATTTATTTTTTTTTCTTTTCATTCTTTTTTTACCATAGACTTTTTTAACTACAAAATAATAAGAATTCATTAGTTTTAAAATTATCTTTAACTCCTATCAAATTAAATTCTAATTACGTTATATTCTACTTCAAGTACATGGAATATTTTAAAACTTATTTTTAATTCAATTAAATATTAACTTCGAGATTAATTTATTAAATTATCATTGTTTAATACAAATTAATTGCCATTACTTAAAGTTTTTAGTGATAAAGAAATTGATTAGAACAAAAAAATAAAATAGGAAAGAAAGGAGAAGAACAAAGGAAAATATAATTATCACCTATGAGATTTAATTGAAAATAAACTTACCTATCTCTCTAGAAAAGTAATGATAGGAATTAGGATTCCATTAAGCAAGCTAATAGTTGTTCAACTTTTACTTTAAATACTGAAAATATGCTCTTTTTTTTCCTTTTTTATTCTTTTTTCATTTCTTTGTTTTTTTTTTTAATCAATTTCTTTACCGCTAAACAGTTTTTTTAATATTGGTAATTAATTTGTCTTAAATAAAATTAACATAAAACATTCGTCTCGAAGTTAATATATTATGGAATTAAAGATTAGTTTAAAATAGTTAACATGTACTTGAATTAGAACATAACTTAATTATAATGTAATTTGATAGTAATTAAAGATAATTTTAAAATTAGCTAAATTCTCATTATTTTGTAGTTAAAAAAATGAACGAACAGAAAAAAATAAATGAGAAACAAATAATTAATAATCAACAAAAGGTACCTTGTAATTAAAAATTAACTTAGTAAATAACATCTTAATGGGGTTAATGTATTTTTTACCAACCTCCAGGGGTAAGAGGGCATTTTTCAAACTAAAGCGGGTAAATGTATTTTCTATCAAACGTCAAGGGCTAAGTGTATTTTACCCTAAAGTCTTTAATTACTGAAACCCAACCAACTTCCCTTCCTCAAGACAAGGAGAGAAACACTGTATAAGGCTTATACCCATCCCCCATTTTAAGATCACTTGTGTGCATATGTGAATAAAACAAGACCCTGAATCTGAATGGGCTCCAGCCAACTGGAAGGTGTAGTTTAACTATACAACTCACGTTTTCTCCTTTAAGAATATTATCTAACTCTAACCATTAAAACATGTTCAACTGGCTATAATCACCCAGTTCACTCCTTAGATGCCAGACTTAAAATTATGTAACATGGTGCTGTAAACACAAACCCTTCAGGCCAAGGAAACTCAATAAAATAGCCCATTAAAATAAATAAATAAATAAAAGTAACCAGCAGGAGTTTAGGTTAATTGAAACCCAAGGTTACCAATGGTAAGGGCTATATATATACCAATGACCAACTTATGATTTTACATTATAAGAATCAGGTATAGCAGCCAAAAAAAAGTATCAAGAATAGGCTGCAAAGACAGAAACAAGGTCCCCTAGGCCCTATCTACAGCTACAGTTTTCTGTTAGTAATGACCACAAATCATGATCCACAAAGATACCAGTCCCAGACTGCAACCCCCCCCCCCCCCCCGACTTTTTCAATAAAATTGCCATGATAAATGAAGCAAGGTAACTAAAATTAATCCAATAAACCAACCAAAACATAATAATAGACAACTTTCTGAAAAGGCAACTCCTAAAGTGGTTTATATTATACCAAATCAGATACCATAGAGGATATATGATAAATTACCTCTTTTTGTTAATGGACCTCAAAGGACTATATCCTGCAGTTTTAAATTCCATCAGAACATATAAAACTCAACCAGAGGGGAAGAGAAGAAAGAAGGCAAAAATTGGAAAAATAAAGGAAAGAGAATCAGCTAACAAAGCACAATCAGTTATAGCTACCTTCAAATAATTTTTCAGAACTAATCACACCAACAAGGTAAGATTTATCACATTCATCTCAATTTCATTACTTGTAAGCAAAGGAATAAGAAGTAAATGTGGAGAAGACAAAGGAAAGCCCAGGAACAACATAGCAATAGAGAATAATAGGATATCAGGATAAAATCTCTGACCCCGTACTATTCGTCCATGTCTTGAATCTCTTCCTGGAGAATACCTTCGCTCTGGAGATAGCCTTTGGTCAAGCTTATCCCTCAAGTCACCATCTCGATGGTTCCTTTTACCTGGCTATGTTAATGAAAATTAGTATTGGTAACACAAACAACTTAGGATAATTAAACTGTTTATGTTAAAACAAGCACAGGGCCAAACACAAAACTAATGTTAAGCTTTCCATCAGACAGAACAATATGATAAACATAATAAAGAACATTAAGATTGCCTTCTTGCCAGTTTCAAAGGGAGAAAAAAAACAGTGTCCTCACATTTGAATAGAAAAGGGAAACCTGTATTGGAGCCTATATCATTGAGATTACTGTCGAATAATAGGCGAATAATAGGACTGGAAAAAAGATAGTCAGCATAGTCCCATCGCATCTGATTGTTGAGAAATAAGAAATATATGCATGCTGAATAGAATGCTAGGACAGATTTCTCTCTGAAGCCATATATAGGACATAATAGTAATTTGTCCGATACGCAATAGAAATATATCTATTCCGAACGTGTCCCAATAAATTTGCATTCTTTCTCCATGCAAGAACTCCCTTCACAATGTCATTGAAGGAGAAGAAAAGAATTATATAAACACCACATGCTCCAGCAATATACAAACTGCAGAAGTTGTGACAAATGATAGTTGACAGTTGCACATCAAATCTGCTTCGCATCTCAATAGTTTGTAAGAACAAATTTCTGAGAAAATGTAATACAGAACCTTCATGAATGCTGCGTTGTTTCATGGATGAATAATGACAAACCAAGATATGGCTGAGAAGGAAAAATACCAAAACCGGCTCTAAGATTTACCAACCAGCACAATCCTTTCTGAAGAAAGACAACACTAACCCTGTTAGTGGATACTTAAATTAAGCTGAAACAGCCAGGTTGCTGGAAAATAAGTCTCTAGAAGATGCCTAATTATAAGTTAAAAACTGTGTCAAAAACTTTGGGATTCCACTCATGTATACACCAAGTTGATCTGACTTGAGCAGAATCAAGTATTCCTTACAAAGAATAGGCAGCCAAGCCCATGAGAATTTTAGATGGGTAAAGCAACGGACATTAAACATAAGACCACTTAATAATAAGAAAAACACAGAAGTGAAAAGAAACAGCAAAATAAAGCAATAGACAAAAAGAACACAACATCATGTAGTCCTGCTTTTCCAATATGATAGCTTCAAACCTAATATCAACAAATGTTGAAAGGAACAAGTGCAACAGTTTCAGCGCACTAGCAGGGAAACCAAACAACAAGATTTTGTTCAGTAATATATAGTAGACTCATCATTAACTTCATAGAGCTCAAATAAAATCTTCCCAGCCAATTAAAACTGTTAACCATAAGGCATTGGCACTCGCAAGCAAGCACAAAGCTTAAAATTTAGACATCTCATTGTAGATAAAGTACATGTGCAGATGAGAAATGTCTTGTCTACAAAAACATTAAACATTTTTAATTCAGCAGGAAAATATTTCAAAAGTGTGATTACAAAGTTTTCCCAACATAAACTAAAATTCGGTACAAATTTGACAACTAAAAAATATGAATTTTCCTATCACGTTCCAATCTAATGCTCTATAACAAGTTCCCAATCACGTTGTCCAGAAAATTACTTTAAAATTGAACGCTAAAAAAATAGTAAGATTTTAAAAGGAATTCACACAGGCATATTTAGCAAGAATACAAAAACTAAAATTCAAAAGCATATTAAACTATTGCCAGTAAGCACATATTAACTTGATAAATAAAATACAACTGAAATGGGGCGAAAAGATCAAATTAGGGCTGAAAAGTGAAAAAGCAAAGCTATTACCGCCGTAAGAAGCGGCAAAATGCCGGAGCTCAGCATCACCGTGGGCGAAGGAGCAACTCTGTCGCGAACAGCGTCCTCTCTGATATAAAACGCACAGCTTCGTTTTAAAAAGCTTCCTTTCCGCCATTTTGAATTTGTAAGAGATATGAAAAACGATTAAAACGGGTGTTCCAAGATTTTGAATAACCGCGAATCCTTCACATGGATGGGCGAAAATGCAAATAGAGTACAAAAAATAGGCAGAATTTTCCTTAATTATTAAAGATTATATGCAGCGTGGAATTGAAGCGAACGTCGTAATTCCTGCAAGATGCGTAATAAATTAAACAAATACTACAACAACTACTTTTCAAAATAGAGTAAAGAAATAATGAAAATATTCTTTCTTACTTTCGATAGTTTCTAGGGTTTTAACTTTTGATTAGAACGCCAAAAACACGGTTGCGAAGCTGCAAAGAAGATAAACCCTAGCAGAGAGAGCGGGAGGGAGGAGGCAGGAGCCTAGTAACTTCCTGACTTGCTGGCTGACTTCGTGGAGAAGACTTTGTAATTGGGCAGGCTTTCTTATGGGAGGACAACACAATTGATGAATCCAATATTTTTTTAGCCCGCAACTTTTGACCCTAAGGCCCATCTCCTTAAATCCTAGTATTAGTATTGTAAGGCCCAGTCAAACATGAAAACATAATACCGGTCAAATTTTGAATTTTTTTTTATTGTTTTAATTCCAATTTTTAATTTTAATGAATTTGATTTATATACTTTTATAACAAGGAATGAGGTATTAAATTTCAATAATTAAATTTTAGTAACTTTTTTATGATGTAACGTGTTAATTTGATTTTTTTTTACTATCAAATTTCTATAATTAAATTTGAGTGATTTTTTTAGGGGGGTGGGTGGGACACAAGTGCTTTTGTTTGAGAACCATGGATTTAATACTTTTTGTTCATTATGCTCACTTCATGTGGAACTTCAATCTACTTTTGCTCACTTCATGCTGTAAACTGTGAAGTATTTTGTTGATGCTTTGTATATGTGTTTGGCGAAATGAATGGCTTTAATCTTGCCTCCTTGATCTGCAAATTCAATTTGGTGCAACTTTCCCCATAGAGCAGCCAAGGGCTTAGCCGTTGTTGTTGGTCGTCTAAGGGTTTTTGATTGAAGGAGGCTTATGAAGAAAGATGATAACTAAAAATTTTGATTGAAGCGAGTATCATGTATGTGAAGACAGATGATAACAATAACTTTGACACATCAAGGAAAAATTCGATGCTGATTGCCATGTACCTATATCCTGTATATGTTACAATCTTGTGAAATAAGTGAAGTTTTGGAAAGTCAATAATGTTGATTTTATTCTTAATGCCATGTGGCTGATATCTGACTGTGTGGAAAATTTCTCGGGGATTTGATATTTGGTATTTGCACACTGACAATCAGCCATTGTTGCGGATCAATCGCCAGGTCTTGATTTTTGTGGAGGGCATTCCTTATTTTTTTTAATGTCTCTTCATCTTTGTTTCCTTCGAGTCTGGGCTTTAACATTTTAAATAAATAACCATGTGGACCGCCGAGGACCTGACGTTTTTTGATCCAGTCATTTCGCTCCAAGTGGCTTCAACGTCTCCTGGCACATGCTTAGTATTGGACTTTCAGCTAAAGTGGCTGTCATTTTATTTTTCCTAGGAAAAATTCCATTCTTCTAACATTTAAAAGTGTTACTACGATATCTGTTTAATACAAATGTATCACTAAAAGATTTATTTTTAATATATTATTAATGTATACATTTTATATATTATTAATGAATAAAATGATATCATTGTATTAATAAAATAAATCAAATAATATTATTTTATTAATAAATAATTTTTTTATAAATATATTTATTTTTATATATTTATTTTAAAAATTAATATTTATTAATTAATAAAATAATATTATTTAATTTATTAATAATATATAAAATTTATACACTAAAAATAAAATCGTTACTTAAACCATGGAAAGGGTCCCAAGTCCCAACCAATCCTTAGTCAATTGTCAACTTCATCAAGCCATCGGAAAGGGTGATGTGACTCATTCTCATCAACGAAAAGGATTGAACTTCTTTGTCTTTGGAGCCTAACCCATGTTTTTCTTGCTGCTTTCCGCTTCCTCATTATGGCCAAATAACTAACTTGAAGCGTCAAATGTATGTTCCATATATACGCCGTTGATTAAGTTACTAAACAACAGGTAAAAATGCCAAGGTAACAAAACTTTTGTGAGGGAACAAGACCAGAGTACTTACCTTAACTCAAGTCATTTCTTCTTCCATCAATATTGAAAATGAGGCTTTTTAATTTACTCTCCAAGACCCAATCTTCTTCTCATCTGCTAAACCTCATTTTGGTATCATCTTCTGTTTGTGTCACCTATCTTCTTGCATCCGTCTTGTTAGTGCACAATACAAAGCCGCCTCTACTGGTATATTCCTCTTCCCAAGATGCTTATGCACCAACTACTGTGGAGCATATTATTTTCGGGATAGCTTCAAATCAAAACTCATGGCCGAAGCGAAAGGATTATGTTAAGCTATGGTGGAAGCCTCGTCAAATGCGTGGATGTGTGTTTCTTGAAACCATGCCCCCTAATGCGACTTCAAGGGATGATAATAATACTTTGCCTCCTGTTTGTGTCTCGAAGGATACTTCAAGGTTTCATTACACTTACAGAGGTGGTCTTCGATCAGCAATTCGCGTGGCACGCGTGGTTTTAGAGACCGTTTCCCTTAATCATTCTAATGTACGATGGTATGTTTTTGGGGATGATGACACCGTTTTCTTTCCAGAGAATTTGGCGAAGACACTTTCCAAATATGACCATCAGCTCTGGTACTACATCGGGGCTGGCTCGGAGATTTATGAACAGAACAGGCTTTTCGGCTTTGGAATGGCATTTGGTGGAGCTGGTTTTGCTATAAGTTATCCTTTGGCTAAAGTTCTGACAAAAGTTTTTGATTCCTGTCTAGAACGATACCCTCATCTCTATGGAAGTGACTCCAGGGTCTACTCTTGCTTGACAGAGCTTGGTGTAGGATTGACACGCGAGCCTGGCTTTCATCAGGTATCAGTTGAGTTTTGGTGTCTGCAAAATTATATTCATCATATTAGCAGTAATAATTAGCATGAGACTTTGCGCAAAATTATTATGTTTATGAATTTTTTTTGGTTGTGTTGAATTCTAACCAGTTTGACGTCCGCGGCAACACATTTGGTTTGTTGGCTGCCCATCCATTGACACCCTTGGTATCACTCCACCACTTAGATAAGATGGACCCAATCTTCCCTAACATGACAACCATTAAGGCTATGGAACATTTACTCCATGCTGCGAATGTTGATTCTGAGAGAATTTTGCAACAAACAGTATGCTATGATCATTGGTTTTCATGGACTATTTCGATTTCATGGGGGTATGTTGTTCAAGTATATAGCAAGCACACATATTTACCTGATATTCTCCCTGTGCAAGAAACATTCAAGCAGTGGAAAAAGGGAAATGTTTTAGCAGGAGTGTACACTATCAACACAAGAGAATTTCACCCAGATCCTTGCCAGAGACCAACAAGTTTCTTTCTGGACAGTATATCTCTTAGTCAGAATGGAATTAATAGTGTTTACAAGAAATCTAATGAAAATTGCACAATTTACATGGGTTCACCAAGGAAACTTGAAGAAATCAGAGTGTCCACTAAGAAGCTAAACCTCAATTATAAGCAGGTACTACTTTAATTTTAGTTAATGCATGTTGTTATAATTACAATGGAGGCTTATGCTATCTTTTGTTGTATTAAGATGCAGGCACCGAGAAGACATTGTTGCGACGTGTTACCTTCTACGTCCAGCGCCAAACGTTTGGACATTGCAATAAGGGAATGCAGAGTAGATGAACTAATTCACATGCATGCATAGATGTTTAACTTCAAATATCTTGCATATCAGGATAATATATTTCCCAAATATTAATAGAATAATAACAGGTTCTGCAAGTCATGAGGACAGAGCCCCTTAGATCCTGGAATTAGATTCAGTTTCCCTCTGTGCTAGCCTGCCTGGAAAGTTGAAGGTGTCCTTAATCTGGTTATGTTTCACTTTTCAGCTTTCAAGGTTTTTTACTAAATCACCAAAGGCAAGCAAAGGAAATCCACATTTTGAGGGATTTGACAGAAAGAGGGGTGGAAAGTTTCTTGGGAAAGAAATTTAGCTGTGGTCTAAATGAAGCTTCAAACATACAACATCACAAAGTTTGACAATACTCAATTTCGTAGTAGCATGTAAGGAACTTGTGAATTACTCAAAGGAAATTTTTTAAACTTTGCATTCTGTGCTTTGAGAGACAAATTTTAAGTTTTCTACAGCTGCTCACTTGCTTCGAACATCTTTCTCCATAAACTAAAAAGCGCTGTTGAGACTTGGGATTTGCCAATCCCCTGACCATGAGCAACTTCTCGTGCTCAGGAAATTGAAAAGGTAAGCAGAATCTTGGACTACAGGCGCAAAATGTGGATATCTTTTTTTTTTTTTTGCGTGTCTTAAAATGTGAATATCTAATATAGTAAACCCATGCAAAGCTTGAGCTTGAGGTCAGGACTTTCATCTGGAGCCTTGTGTCGTATATTGTTTCCAAACACGAGTGTTAGCCTTCGGGCTTTAGAGAAGGCATGAATTTCATAAGTTTCCAGACGGATTTTTCTGAGACAAATCAAGCATTTAAAAAATATATATTGAAGATGAAAATTCAAACTAAAATTTTTTATTAAAAAATATTAAATTAAATAGATATTCTTGTACTTTTTTCTCATTTTTATCCTTGTTTAGATTGAATTCAACCCATTAAGATTCTGCCTTTAGCTTGAGCCGATTTGAGCCCACCCTTAATTCTTTGAGTTGGTTCAGGCCTTTCTCAAGTAGTAATGGGATTGAGAGTACAAATAAGCCTACTGCTTGCGCTGTGCGAGGCTTCTATCTTTCCTGAGCTTATAGCCCAAAATATTGTCCAAAAAAACAAAAGCAAGTGTTTCTTTTATTTGGTACAAAAAAGGTGCTAATGTCTGGCAACAGTATGAGAAATGTCATAATATGCTCGCAAAGAAAATTCTAATGAGGCATATCGATAGCAGCTATTGGAGCTATTGGAGCTATTTTCTTCTCATGGTAATGCTTGGTACATGGCTCAATGCCTTAAAGTGAGCCTTTTCAGCCCTTTACACCATTGTGTAGCAGTATTTTGGGATAAAAGTTTGATTTTAACAATGAAAAATCACAATCAAATACCCATTGAACTTGAATTTTAAGTCTTAGACTTCATCTAGACACCCGATTAGATAATTAAAATAACATAATATGAAAAATAGAAAATTTTTATTTATGATTTTATGTAATCTAATTTTCCTACATGTGCTATTTAATTTATCAATCTCATAATAAAATAATTAAAAGTATTAAGTCTATGAAATATGATCAGTCAATCAACATTTAAAATGGACAAAATTTTTAGTAATAAATAAAGGGACAAATTCCAAAATTACAAATAATAAATTACATATATACTCTAATCAATTAGTTAATTTAATTACGGTATACATGTCGGTTCAATATTTATAATTTTTAAATTTGTTTTTTTATTAATTAATTAATTAAATTAAATAATTAATTTAATAAGAGTATACGTATCGTTCACTTTATGCAGTTTTGGAATTCGTCATAAATAGTTTAAGTCAAGATCATCCTTCATTTTATATGGTAAGAGTCGGACACCAAAATGAAGATTTTGATAGATTCAAACCCTAATGCCCGTAAAGACATGTTCAAGGTTGTTGAGCATGATATTCGTTTTCATTTGGGGTCTGTCAAATCAACTCGGCAGTCTAATTTTTATTAATAAATAAATAAGCATTCTCTTAGAACAAGCCGGCCAAGTTTGTCGTTTAAGAACAGGCCGGCCAAATCAGCGGTTTAAGCCTATCTCTACCAAAATGTGTTGGTTTCAAAGAGGAAATTCAGGTTGCATATGTCTTTATTTGACTGTAAAATATGATGGCTTCTTGTTCTTGACTCAACTTAAAATAATATTACAGTATTCTTAGTGTCCCTTCCTCACAATTTCTAATCGCACTATGTCTTTAGAGTCTTTGGATTTTGTTGTTGGACTTATGCCAGTTTTTTCAGAGAAAGAAAATTGCATAAATTAAGGTTGTGAGCTGATAAAGACAGGATGATCATGGTCTCTTTTCCTAGAGTTTTATAGATGGTAATTTATATTATTGTGTCATATTTTGTGTCAAATATGATTTTAAATACAATACAAATAATTTTGATATAAATAAAATATAAATATTTACATGATACAAATAATCTAAACATAAATATAATAAATTTATTATATGTGTAACATACAATATAACATGATTAATATGTTTAAAATTAATTTATTCAACACAACTCAAATAACATCACATAATTAAACACAATTATATGTGATTAATTTATTTATTTAACCAAAAAAAATCATTTAAATTAGTATTTAAAATAAAAAAAATTAAAAATTAAATATTTATAATTTATTTAAATACCGAAATAATACGATAAATAATTTATTTAAAAAATAAATTAAAATAATTTTTATAACTTGTATGTTATATATGCTTGCATAAATAATATCATATTGTAAATGTGTTATTACTGTTTAATACAAACACGATACGAATAATGTCATGTCTTAATCATATCGATACGATTAAGACACGAAATACAATTATATTAAATTTATATATGATTTTTTTGTATTATTTTTCTATTATGTTTAAGATTATCAAATATAAAAAAATATAACCAATGGGATATTCTATGTTATTTCTTTCTAATTTCTATCACCTTAGTTTAGTCTATTTTATATTAACTCTGTTATTTATTGTGTAAAACATAAATTTTATTATGTTATAATTCGTATTGACACATCGAATATAAAATACATATTTTAATTTTTATTAAAATTTTAAATCATGTTATTTTCGTATTTATTTTTGTATTTTTTTTGTTTCACCGTGTTTAAAATTGATAGGTGATTATAGTTCAACTCATTCACATTATTATGAACCGCGTAATCAGCTCATATTCATCATCTTTAAATTATACCATTAACAGATGAACTAGATTGCAAGTTAAATTGCCTCATCCTTCAAGAGATTCAAGGAAGGCAAAACTTGTACGTGTCTCTGAGTCTGAAGACTATTAGCAAATCAGTATTATTCGCCTTTCTCTGCTGCCTCTTGGCAGCACCAGGGCCGCTCACCAATTTATATAGGATGCACTCTCCTGTCATAGTTACTCTGCAGTTACTCTTATTTTTTTCTCTGCTTTCTTCTATCTATGCCTCTGAAGCTGATCAAGAAAGGTATTTCTTCTGTGATAGCACTGGTAATTACACTACCGGGGGCATCTATGGGCAAAATGTAAACATCACTCTCACTTCACTTGCTGCAAATGCTTCTTTTGATGGCTTCTCTATCACCACAGTCGGCCAGGGCTTAGATGTGGTTAATGGACTTGTTCAATGCAGAAGTGATGTCTCCCAAGAAGATTGCCAAACTTGTGTAGATACTGCAGCTAAAGAAATCAGCCAGTTCTGTCCAAACAAGAAAGAAGCCATGATTGGCTACAATAATTGTTCTTTGCGGTATTCGAACTGGCGCTTCTTTTCAACAGCCAGTAGCTCTCCTATTTTTGCTTTTTATAATAAAGCGAATGCAACTGACCCAGATCATTTTAATACTCAGTTGGCAAACTTGTTAAGAAATCTCTCATCCACAGCTGCATCTAACGCTTCAAAATTCGCTGTCAATAGCACCAGTTACTCAGCTTTCAGTGATATATATGGTATGGTACAGTGCACCAGAGACTTGCCAGAAAGTAGGTGCTCGAGTTGCTTGCAAGCAATCATCAGTTTTATACCACAGTGCTGTAATCAAAAGCAAGGTGCTCGGATATTCACAATGAGTTGCAACCTTCGCTTTGAGTTATATTCCTTCTTTCTGACATCGTCACCCCCGATTTCTCGAATACTGTCTCCACCATCTGTTTCTCCGCTTGAGCCCAATTTAACTCCTGGTGTAACAACAACTAAAACCAGTGCTGATGGTAAGTTTTGCTGGTGATTTTACCACTTTAAATCAATTAAAACCTGGGAACGCAATACTAATGACGTTATAAATAAATCCTGCTTGTGCAGGGAAGAAAAGCACTTCAAAAACCACTGTGGTTGTAGTTGTATCCATAGCAACCGTGGCATTGCTGGTGACACTCATAGTCTGTGGTTGTTACTTTTGGAGAAAGGCCAAGAAAAAAGCAGCTGGTACGCACTGTAACTTTCAGTCCAAATCGAATTTTAGTTTGTATGATTCTAAATCTCAACAGACATATGAACGCCAAGTCTTTGGTTGTCACAAAAAATTCAAACTGAGGTTATGTCTTGTCCATATTCAGATGTTAATGACGATTCTGAGAAAAACATGGAATCTCTCTTGATTGGACTTGATACCCTTAAAGCTGCAACAAGAAACTTCTCTGATGAAAATAAACTTGGACAGGGTGGTTTCGGTCCCGTTTTCAAGGTATTTTTCTCAAGTATATTTAGTCTATGGCTTTACCGGTCATCTTTTTTCTCCCTGAATTATTGAACAAGCAATCATTATTTGCACCATCAGGGAAAATTGTTTGATGGGGGAGAAATTGCAGTGAAAAGGATGTCAAGCAACTCGAGGCAAGGTGTGGGAGAGCTGAAAACGGAAGTAATGTTGGTTGCTAAACTGCTGCACCGCAACCTGGTAAAGCTGTTGGGTTTCTGTTTAGAAGGAGAAGAGAAGCTTCTTGTATATGAATACCTGCCTAATGGAAGCTTGGACAAAATTTTATTTGGTATGAATTATTTTACCTTCTTGTTTTTGATTCTTTCATGGCGAATTGTATTCTATGTTTAGTCTTGGACATTGCCATTTTTTGCTAATGAGACTTTGAAACTTGGATGACATATATATAGATCAGAGCAAAAGGTTCAGCCTGGAATGGGAAAGACGATACAAAATTATTGTTGGGATTGCAAGAGGTCTGCTTTATCTGCATGAAGATTCTCAGCTCAGGATCATTCACCGGGATTTGAAAGCTAGTAATATTTTGTTAGATGAGCAGATGAATCCTAAGATATCAGATTTTGGTTTAGCAAAACTATTTGGCGAAAGCCAGACTAAAGGCAATACAAATCGGATAGCTGGAACATAGTAAGTTCACATTTTTGTGCCAATTACTAGAAGATTTTATGCTTGAAGCCATCATAAGAAACCTAACAACCCAACACAGCCTCAAATTCAATGATGCATTTTTCCGTTTGTGTGTGTTAAATAGAACTTGTAACTGGTGTATCTATATTTGTTTATTTCGTATCTAATATTTATAAAATACGAAAATTGTCATAAATTGTGTCAACAAGTCAAGTGCAAAATACATTTTTTGTTTTGCCAAACCTGTATGTAACTTGTGTTAAAGTTTTAAATTATATCACTTTTATATTTTTTTTATATTGTTTTGTATCCTCTGTAGTGTTTAAAATTAATCGTCAGTCTAGTCTTAATTATTACTCATGAAAGCCTTCAAATTTTCTTCTTAACGTGCCTTTGCCATATCTGCTTTCATGATTTAACCGTTGTAAACAAACTTTCAATTCATTTTTTTTTTATATGCAGTGGGTACATGGCTCCGGAATATGCTAAGAATGGATACTTTTCAACCAAGTCTGATGTCTATAGCTTTGGTGTCTTGGTTCTGGAAATAGTAACAGGTCGAAAAAGCAATGGCTTCAGCAATTCAATAAATCTTCAAAGTCATGTAAGTGCCTCGATGAATTTTTTTTTTCTCTTTCCCATTTGTGGTATGATTGTTAAAACTGATTTGAACTGGATGGCTTGACTTCTGACAGGCTTGGGTACATTGGACCAATGGAACAGCTTTAGAGCTGTTAGATCCAGTCTTGAATGATCAGTGGCCAAGGTTTGAAGTTTTGAACTGCATTCACATCGGATTGTTATGTGTTCAGGAAGCTGCAGCTAGTAGACCTTCAATGTCCGAGATTATCACGATGCTTTGTAGTCACTCTATGACGGCTCCAGCGCCTTCACTACCAGCATTTTTCATCTCAAGAGAAAATTTTACAACCGATTCAGCTAACGATTCTGGTTCATCCCAATCTGCAGATCCTATGCCAGATTCGATACAACGATCTGTAAATGAGGTTACAATCAGTGAATTACCCCCTCGCTGATGCTGAGCTTTTAGGTAGAAGCCATAATCTCAAATGTTTTATCTTCCTAAGACACTAAGCAGCATTAAACAATGTTGCTCTTACTCAACAGTCATTCTACATTTTCTATGGCCGGGTGTAATCCATGGACAACCAGATTATTACTCGTTCAAATTGCAAAGCACCAAAAAAGTAGTAAAATTACTATGCTGTATATGCAAAGACCTCAACGATAGCTAATATGAAAATTGTGCTAGAGGCATGATTAATAAATGAAACCAAAAAATATTTTCAAAATACAGTTCCATCAAAATTTGTTAAATTTCCATGGGTATCGCAAGTCTTTACCTGATACTCGTTAGTTACAAATGAATAACAAAATCTTGCATTTACAAGCTTAGTGAAATGTTTTCAATTAAAGCAGGTGACATAAGCTAAGCCTCCCTCCGATCCTCTTGGCGAGGTTGACCACTCTTTTTCACTTCCTGTCGAAGTTCATTGACGTGCAAAAATGTCAACTGGACGGCCAATCTAAGCTACTGTCATTGCTTAAAGTCCAGGCACCTTCATCAATCTCATCAAACAGTTGGCGCCAGCCCCAACCTGTGTAGCCAAAGAAAAACCAGTACTCACTGAGAGATTGATTTCCGGCCTTCAGCTCTTCAATATTAGCAAGAGTGGCCAATTGGTCAAGAAAGTAGATGCCTGGAAGGACTTCTACATACTGATCTTCGCTAACTCTCCTAGTTAAGGCAACAAAGGGCATTCCACGTCTTAAAACCGGGCCTCCAAAAGACAGAGGAGCCTCTTTCAGGAACCCTAAGCCTTCTTCAAGTTCATCTAGAGCGTCCCATCTGATTAGCTTGTTAAAAATCAAACCCTGAAATCCAGTGTCTTCACCTGCTTTCACAATGATAATTCTTGACTTATCAAATGGGATGACATTGAGAAGTTTATCAGTGGACGTAAGGATAGAACCCACAACCACCTTAGATGTGGCTTTATGTGAGCCAGTTGATATGGGGGCCCTAGACTTGCCCCCATTGTATTTAGCAACTTTTTTTGGGTTTTTATTTTTCAATATAACTTCATGGAATTTGTCCTTTGCAGAGGGACCTTCCTCATGACCGGCAACTCCAGATGAATCCTTGAATAAACCCTGGTTCCTCCCTCCTCCTCCTTCAGCAGTGGTCAATAAATTTCCTATCAAAACCAGAGAAAACAAAGTACGATTTTTCTCTTAACCAGAAAAGGAAAGAAAAAGGATAAACAAACCTATTTGGTACACAAGATAATTTCCACAACAGATGCTATCATCTGTACAGTGACTGGAATTTTCATTTAGGACAACGACTGTAAGGGTTTACCATACATAGAAAAGCTTTTCAATAAAAATGAACAAGTATATATAAGCACTAATAGCAAAACAAACTCAAACATTTCAGTTTATTGCACAGAGATTGAAAATGGGAGCTTAAAATTATTTTGGAGGAAAAAATAAAAAATGAAGCAATGACATTTCCAAAGTTAAGAAAACAAATGTATTTATGACCGTACAAATACTTCTAAAGCTTAAATGGACAAGCAGAATGCACTTTCAACAAGCTTCATCAAATTTAGGATCCACTAATGCAAGAGTTGGATTCGCATGCAAAGAGAATTGCTAAAAGTGCTAGAAGAATACTCTGTTCATTCTCAACAAAATTGAGCTCCATGCTAATAAACTATTTTACAAGGTATCTTACATGCCTTTACTTCGATTATTCCCCTTTTGGAAACATGCAGATGCCACAACTGATGGTGTAACAATTAAAAAAAGAACATTCATTTTGAGGAGGCTGAGACAATCTACTAAGAACACAGACAGTAGAAATACAACTAGGAATGAGGAAACTGCATTCAGTCACAGACAGACAATGAGTCTAGTGAAAATCAAAGTCACTGTAAGATAAATATGAGAACCAAATTACTTTAGCAGGCAAGACAATTGAACCATATAGAAAGTCAGAATAAAGGAAATTAAATATAAAGATGTAAACAAGTCTATAGTAACAAGAAATGTTAAAAGAAATGAAGAAAAGGGGGAGAGCCAGAGAGAAGGGGATGGATGTGCATAAACAACAAATAAAACCAGAATGAAAACATCAAAGTTTTTTAGTTTCCTTTAAATATTTGTAAGGAAATGTACATATAAATGATGACCCATAAGATGTTACCTTTCTCACTGAAGAGATGATGAGAATTACTTCCATGATGAGCTATAAACTTGATTATATTGACTACTGACATATCTCCTTCGTAAGAGACAGCCATTTCAGTTTCAGCTGGGAATAACATCAGAGTTGGATAAACTTCCCTCTGCAAAACCCAGGTTTATTGAAAGGAGAAAAAAAGTAAGACTACAGAAATAATTGTTCAGTTTTTTTTTTTATGAAAATAATTGTTTTTCTTTTGCAACAATGGATGCATACAATTTTAGCAAAACATATACAGAGAAATTTCCTTTAATTCAAAATCACTATAAAATAATAATTATCGGTTTGCAACTATTGAATGGAATGAACTCTAGCTAATAGCAAATCAAGGAAAAGGCAGGTGAGAATATGAAAAAGTATGAGGAAAAAGGGAGATGGCATTGCATGTGGCAACAAGGATCTAAGAGAGATTAAATGAATGCATTAATAGGTCTCAAAATGATTTTTCTTCTCTTTTTGCTCTTTCTTCATCCATGGGGTGCAACAACTTACTAGAAAATCCAACTGGTGTTACATGAAATTAGGCCTAGACAACGTAAAACTCCTGAGATCTAACCAGTGGTCACTTGAAAGGCACACCAGGGGCAAAGCTAGTTAGGAGAATTCATATGGGACAGAGTGAAATACATTATGCTTTCTCTCTCATTCTAATTTCCAGTGTACCTAAGGAATGGCTAGAAGGGGTTATCACACCGGGATGTGATTTTATGAGGATCAATACTTCTTGTTTTGGAATCCAATGTTTCATTTAGTGGTACTTCCTTAAAAGATTTTCAATCAATTCTAGATGTCTTAATTTAAAGTTATCTTATTCTTTGTCATCAATATCAATAAACTGTCCAAGAGGGTGTGACGGTGTGTTTAATCCCAGTTAACCTCTCAGAAAAGGGCTTCAAATGCTGCTATCAAGAATTAACAGATCCAAAGAACTGAGACAACCCAGCACATGGCCAAGCTAGGAAGAAAGCTTGGTAGAGCCTGAGCTGACCCATAAACTCATCAATGGCCCAAAGAAAGCCTAAAACGAGCTCATATGCCAAGAAAATGCACGATGCTAAAACATAGAGGAGCCCTCCAAGATAAAAAGAAAACAATAACTGATATTAAGAATGCAATGCACACTATTGGAATCTTTATCTATTCTTTATATAATGCTCTTAACTGAGTTTGATCTCACAAGTCAAGTGACATCAATTCAATTAAAGAAATTATTTAAAAGCCAAAATAAAATAACAAAAATAATGTAGAATTAAGGCTATTGATGTCTTTTTATTTTTTAATAACCCAAACTCTTTTGTTTCACATGCATTTAGTAAAAACAACCACTCATCAGATAACTTCTTTTTTTCAAAATATGATTTCTACTCAACTCATCAAATTTTACTTTTCCACCCACATAGCTGGTATGCCAACATATAGTAAAGTGTAAAGTATAAACCATCTACTAGAGATCTGATGTTTTCCTTTAGAATCTTTTTTCCAGGCTATAAACCTCAGAATTCAGAAGAATTTACCAAGGATCATATCTGTTAAGTCCATTGCTTAAAATATAATTTAAAGATGATTGGGAACAATATTTGCATATTTCACACAGGAATAAATAATGGACATAAAACAAACCTGGTTTACTGATTTTAGGATTAAACTGCAGTCATTCAATGTGCAATCCATCAGGTAGATGAGTGGAAGTTTCATATTATTCATAGAGTTGTCTGCCACAAATATAAAACTTGTCAATACATACATATTTAAGGAATATTTTTCTCATTTTAACATTCTTTCTACCACAAAAACAAGAAAAAAGTTGTACAGAAAAAAAAAAAAAAGGCAAAAATAAGTGAATCCCATACTTGATACTTCTAATTCAGGAAGCAGCATTTCATAGCAGATAACATATAGATCACTGATTTCCTCAATTTTATTTTCCGAGATGACAAAACAGAGTATCTACAGTTTAGGCAGTTTATCCCCATGACTAGAAATAAAAAGAAAAACAATATTTGTTGGATCCAAAAAGGCCTAGAGAAGCATGTTGCACTCAACTACTAGAACTAGCAACCATAAGATTTTCTGAACAGGACTGCTGCTCAAAACATAACACGACACCAAAAAATGATAGGGATAATCAATAAATTATCCCATTCAAAGACTTAGCCAAATATAGCTCCCTTCCTTGAATGCTTATATACAAATTTACACATAGTTCTTCAAGATATTAAGTCATATGACTTTCAGTAAGGACTACACCAAAAGTTATAGGTCTCAATATGACAAGCAGAATAAAGGATTTAATAATGAGAAGTAATATATAAAGGTGAAATGCACTTACCAGCATTAAACACAGCTTGTTCTTTCGCAGAGCCATTCTTCAACATTTTCATATAACCACTTATGGCCCGATATACTTCACGAACAACCAACTCCATTCTCTGGCAAAAGCCACACCAATTACTACTAAAAAGTACCACAACATCCTCATTGCGAGCATGGGTGGCATTTCCACTGTTAGATTGGTTAGACCCAAAAACAAGCTTGGACAATGTATGCATCATAACTCGAGGGATGGAATCCGTTTCATGAAAATCCTGATTAACAAATGGCGGAGAAGTGGGCTCCCTGGAGCTGTGAAGAATGGGTGCAGAGCGTTGGTATGGAACAAGACTTCCATTAAGATATTCATGAAAAAATTTAGAAAGCGAAAAATAACTGAAAATTGCCTCTTCAGGGTAGACATAATGGTGCTGGGACCTAGGATCAACTAAAACCAACGATGGTATTGTAGACCCACCAGTCAAAGATCTAAGTAGTCGGTAGTTATCATCACATAAGAAAAAAGAACCCTTAAACCCTTCAAACTGAAGTTCTTGTTCCCCTGACTCATCTATCTCTGAAGAAATTTTCTCTTTTGCCTTCATATCCCTAGCCATGTCAAGCTCAAGACCTTCCAAAAGTTGGTCGGTTTCCATAGATACGAAGTGTTTACTTTTAGCGGAAGAAATTCCCTCATCTTCATTGTAATGAGAAGAAGATTCAACACCAATTGATTTAGGTTTTTCCTCATGCAACATGCCAGATTCGTTCTCCATATGTAGTACACTGTTTGGATCAACAATACCAATTAAAGGACCTTCCTGAGATAATGATGGCAAGACATCATCAGATTGACCTTCTGTTTGTGATGGCAATTCCTGGGCTGTTTTGATGTCAAGATCATCCGACAAAAGACGAAAGCCTAATTCCTTTGCAAGTGAGCTCAATTTTGCTTCCTTCTTTCTCTGAAGAATATATTCTAAAATCTCATGCAAAGATTTACCTTGTAAATCTGAAGCTAGATTATCTAAAGAGATATGCTTACCCTCATTTATAATCATGAATGACATTTTATCCTTTAACTTAAAAGCAAGGAGTGAGGATTTGTCTTGATGGTCAGTATTTTGTGAACTCGTCTGATTCAACATCTGATAGTGAAGTGCTACTTCTCTAAAAGCATCAAGAGCTTCTCTACCTTTTCTTCTAGCTTCTGATGAGTCAGATAATCTATCCACAAAAAGAATTACTGATGGCTTATCTGCAGGTAAAGCAAGCTGAAGATCTTGGCCATCAACTTCTACCTGAATTGAATGGGGAGTGTGTGAGAGATAGAAAGAGAAAGAGATACTATCAATATAGAAAAGACAAGCTATAAAAAAATTGAACCATAAGAAAGAACCAATCAGGGACTTAAATATATATTCATAGGAAATAGGCAAAGAATGGCAGTTGAATTACCTCCCTTTTTTATGTAAACCGATTCTGCTAAATGCATATAAATACCACTCTTTCTAACAAAATTCACATTTTCCGCTCATGGTTAACAAATACTTAGTTAAAAAGCGGTACATAATAACTAAAAAAGGCAATTAAGTTACAAACTGCGTTTGCTTTATGTATTTTAATGGCATATAATCAACCTAAGATTATTCTTTTCCCATCAAGCCTAACACCATAAAAAAGTCATAAACTCTGTTATTAACTCAGAAGGCTTTCACCACAATCTTTTGGGGCACTGAGATGAAGACAAATCCATACCTCATGAACAACTGAATCGTGTGTCAGAAAAGCACTCTTGAGTTCATCCACATCTCTACTAACTTTTGAACAACCAGGACATCCTTTTAAGTAAAGCACTGCCATCCATGTACCAGAATCTTCAACACCAAGAAATGACATCAATGATCTATCAGAAACCAACCCAAATCTAATCCTTTCTGGAGGCATTAAGAACTCTCTTCTAACAGCAATCAACTTAGAGAAAAATGAATCAAATTGCTTAAACTCTTTTAAGGTACAACTCAATCCAACACCAAGTCTAAAATTATCACTATCCTGGAATGAAACACTGTCATTTAACAAGCTAAAGTCGGTAATCCAAGGAATTCCAGCAATCCCATTTTCAACACCACATTTCAGCTTCCCATTTTCCATTCCCTGAATTCCAAAAAACAAACAAACAAAAGTTTAAGAAACAATATCACTAACCAAAATTTTCTCTTAGAAATGAAATGTAATCAGAAACAAACAGCAACCTTGGGCATCAAATCATTTCCAGTTCCATTATTCTTGACCTTAGCCAGTAACTTAGGAGCCCAACCACAAAATTCCGTTAAAATCAAAGCTTTGTCGGTTGAATCGAGAAACACTTTCAAGTCCTCCTGAGAATTAAGCGGCTTTAATGGAAGTTCTTCGGGTGAAGCTGATAGCATATAAGGATAAATAGAGTTTAATATATTTCGAGCTCGAAGCTTTCCCCGGTATTTATAAGAAACGGAGCGATCATAGTAAAAAACCGTTATTCTATCCGAAGCACCATGCGAATCGGCCAACATTTTCTCCGTGTTTCTATGAATAAACATCAATTTTAAAGAGTCAAAATCCTTTGACTTGTCGGTAACTAATCGGGACACTTCCCTCATAAGCGATCGAGACTCGCCGCACCCTGCAAAAAAAATAGTGATTAAAATTTTAAAAATTATAGATTCGTAATAGTAAATTGATTTTTAAAAAAAAATGATTTGATTAAATTTGTACGTTACATGGAACGGTGAAGAAAAGGAGGATGTGAGAGTGGAGACGGATCTGAGAAGAGAAATTTTGTTCGGTGAGGATCTGCCATTCTCCTACACCGTCTGGAGCGCAACCAACGGCTGATAAAGACGCGAGTAAAATGATCGAAATCGGGAGCAGGAACAACCGGTTCTTCATCGCCAACACGGTTACTGAGTGACGAAAACGAAGACAGTGCACTCTCTTTTCTGTTGCTTTTCCCAGCTTGAGTATAAGAAGGAGACCTCAGCAGTCCAGCTGGGGTTGCGGGTCAGATGTGTCTGAATCATGCGAGATCCAAATCTATTTGGAGTGATAATTGGATCGCACTGGTAAGATTTTAAGTGGAAATGGATAAATATCATATTTAGCCTATCTCAGCTAGTATAAGTACGAGTGTATAATCGGTGAGTTGGATTTGAAAATTTTAATAATTGAATTAATTAATTGATTGAAAATTTTTAAATAATTAATTATAATCATATTGATTAAAACCAGTTTAGGTCGGTTAAATAATTATATTTTTTATTTTTTATTATAAATAATTATTTAATTATATATTTAATTTAATAAAATTTAAATTCAAATATCATTTAAAATAAATCATTAAATAATTTAATAATTTTAACAATATTTTATAAGAAAAAAATAAATAAAAATACCCATCTCAATTTTTTTATCTTTATTTGTTAAAAAATTGATTAATTCGATCAATTTGATTATTAATTTTAAAAAATTAAAAATTAATTAATTTAATCGATTTAAAAATTAATTAAATCAAAATCGAATTAACTAAATTCACTCAATTTTGATCGATTTAATCAATTCAAATTTACTTTTACTTATCTTTAAATATAAAAAAAATAATTTAACATAAGTATTAAAAAATATATGGTATTGAAGTTTTATATTTCAACAACTTAATAAAAATATATATATGCTAAAAATATATTTTAAATTTTTTACTTTTAGAAAATTAAAAATAGAATTTTGATTTTTAAAATTTTTCAAATAAAATTTAAAATTTTGAAAAAAAAAAAAGAAAAAATTAAGTGTATATTTTTTATTTTCAGAAAAAATTTTAAATTTTCAAAAATAAATTTATTTATCAAATTTAGAATTATTTTTAAATTATTATTTTAAAATTAAATTTTAAAAAATAGCAAATAAAATTATGCCACTTTATGTCTTAGTCATTCAACACAAAATACGATATAGCACATTTTTGACAAAATAACATGTTTTGATTAATTCATTGACAAGTCATTTAACCTTTTTAACAGTGTTAGATGTCAAGGTACGTTGACGGACTGAATGAAAGATGAGGTATCAAATTGAATTTTTTTTCAATACAAATACTACATTAATATTACAAGACTAAATTCTATTATAAAGACTGAATAAGATATCATCCTTAAATGGAATCATGTTTGAATTCTATTATGGACTGAATTCAATTGTTTGTAGTTTTATGTTAAGAAAAAATTAAAAAAAAATGGAAACATAAATGAAAATTGATGTAAATATAGAAAATGTTTTAGAAACCTAAATTTTGGGTGATACTACTATTTTATAGAACAAAGGTCTACTTTTGAATGAACATAAATTAATATATTATCCCTAAATGCTACATTTTGGTAACTGTTAGAACTTTTTTAAATCCTGTATATTCTAAATCTTGAAAGTTAATATAGCTGTTTTTATAACTAGAGATATCAAACTTTAAAATTATGTTTTATGTATAAAATTATTGATAAGATAAGATTATAATCATCTTATATTATATTTGATTTATATCTAAATAAATAGATACGATTGTAAAGAGAATTAATTATTCTATTGACATACGATAATTCAATTCTCTAAAAATGTAAAAGATTATTTTTAATCTATGAGATTAAATTTACATACCTTAATATATCCTTAAAAATTATATCAATAATTTAAATTGTATAAATTTCAAAGAAAAATAACTTTATCAATAAATAAATTATCATATTCTAATCATTACTTACATCAAATATAAGATAACATAATATTATTTAATCTAATATTAATTATAATATTATCTTATTTTATCTTATTACAATCTTACACATCAAACACACCTTTAAATAATTATTACAAAAATTTTAATCATTTTTAAGCACGGAATGGAATAGTGATTAAAGATGTGCTAGCAGTGGATATATGTATTCTCTTTGTTATTAATCGCATACTTCTTACCTTTCAAAATGAAAGAAAGAAGAGTCTTTGTACTCCTAATATTTTAGCATAGTCAAGCATATTGTTTTTAATGATGCAAATGTTCATAACATAATTTCCTTAAAAACAAATAAATGATATCATTCAAAAATATATATAGTTGTGCATAAATAATTCTAAATATATATTTTTTAAATTTGATAATTTGTATATTTATATTGTGTAAAATATTAAAATTTATATTTTATATGAAAATTATATATTAATAATTCGTATCGACATAAAAATTTGAAATATAATTTTTCTTATTTTGTTAAATCAATATACAATTATTACTGAAATTTTAAATCATATTACTTTTATATCTTTTTTTTTATTTTGTATTCATATCATGTTATCATATTATATTTTAAATTGCTAAGTTTAATATTTTTTATTCCAAAAATATATATATATTTAATTGAAGTTCTTTTTTCTCTTTTTTATTTTAAATTTACTTAAAATAATTAATTTCAAAATTAATAATCTGCTAGTTCAGATATTTAAAAGAGATATAAGTAGTAAAACTCATTATAATATTTCATTTTATTTTCTTTCCTTCATTAAAAGAAACCAAAATTTTTAATAATCCTTTTTTTTTTTCATTTTAACTATTTAATAAGAAAATGAAGTATCATTTTCTTTTATTTTAAAAACCTCTCTTTTTATTTTTTTTCATTTCCTTTCATGAATCAATTCAAATATAATGTTAAGAAGTAGGTAGGTTTTTAATAAAAATAAGTATTTTTTAAATATATTATAAAAAAATACATTAATATCTTTATTTTATTATTTGATATTATAATTTATTTGATTTTTCTATATTTTTCTCAATTGAGATAACGTCACTTGACATTGACATTAAACTCAATCATAGGTCTAATCAATGCAATTATTCATATAATTAATAGGACTATTAAATAAATTTTCAATTTGTAAATTTGTCCCAAGTTCAAACTTCACGCTTGACAAATTAGACACAAAACTTTTATTTTATTATTTAATATTATAATTTTATTTAATATGTTTATATTTTTTCTCAATTGAACTAATGTCACTTTACTCATAACATTAAACTCAATAATAGGTTTCATCAATGTTATTATTCATATAATTATTAAGACTATTAAGTAATTAATTTCAATATGTAAATTTACCCCAAATTCAAAATTCAAATGCGTAACAAATCAAAGAAAAAACTAAAAAATAAATCTCATATTTTAAAAAAATTTTCGTTTTAGATAAAACTCTATAAAAAAAATTAGAAAACAATTTTATAGTTTGAGGAAAGAAAAAAATCAAGACTAAAAATAAATTAATGGTAAATAACATAAATGAAAAAAAAAATGCATAATATTAGTACATGCTATATAATTAATTGTTTTTTAATGCTAGATATCCACATGAATTGTAGTCAAATATTTATAGCATGTAAGAGACAAAAAGAAGCTTCTAAATGCATTTTTGTTTTCAGTCTTCACACTTTTTTTAAATTTATCTTAAGTGAAATTATTTAATTATTTTTCTTACAAGTTTTCAGATATTCATATTTGGTAAATTATATAATTTACAAAAAATAAATTTTTGAAAAATTATATAATTTTTTGAAAATTAAATTTTAGAGAATCAGTATCAAAACTTTAAGAAAAATTATAAAAAATATAATTTATTATAAATTTTTATTAATTAGTATAATGAAAAAAGTGTTATTGAAAAAATTATGAATTTTAAAACTAAGAAAGAAAGTTAATTTTATTATTTTTATCTTTCAGAGAAAAAAAATCTTATGAGGTTCTAATTAAACTAAAGATAAAATAATAAATATAATTTTTTATAAATTTAAAATTTATCATTTCTTTTTCAATAAATATATATTTTTTAGTATCAATTATTAAAATTTTTTAATAACTCTAATTAAATTGAACTTTTTGAAGAAGTCTCTTCATTTACTTATCGTGATGAATTTTTTCAATTAATATATTAGATTTTGATAAAATTTTGTAGAATTTAGTAATATTATTTGTAAATTTTTCAAGAGTTTTTGCTCTCAAATGTTAATCGAATCTAGTAATTCCTTCATCATCTCTTGTAATATCAAGAGATAAAACATTTAAGATTTTATTTTTTTCTAAGGTCAAAATAGTAAAATTAATTTTTTTTATTAAATTTAAATTTTATAATTTTTAATAAATTTTTATTACATCAATTAATAAAAATTTCTAATAATTTTTTTTTTACAATTTTCTTAAAATGTTTATAAACTTTCTTTCAAAAACAAATTTTCAAAAAATTGTATAATTTTCTGAAAATCCATTTCTAATAAGTTATATAATTTTTCAAAATTTTTATTTTTTAAGTAATTTTACTTATAAAAAAGCTTGGAAAAGAATAAATTGTGAAGAGTAAAAATTGAAGTGCATTTAGAAGCTAGAAAAAAAATAATGTAATGTTTTGGTGTTTAAGTTTTTGGATATCGAAGCTTATTCAAATTATGCAAATGACATATCTTTGCTAATAATGTGATTTGTTAATAAAATATTAAATAATTAATTTTAATGATTAAGATGCATTCTCTTATAATCTCAGATATACAAAAATTGTGTATGCCTCTTTAAAAACGAAAAAAAAAAATCTTAAAAGCAAAAGTGGTAATTAATGAAATTACATATGTCATAAAAATTATGTGGATACATTGAAAAAAAAAAAAAACAAATAAACAAACCCATTTAACAACTAACAAAATATATCTATATCTATATATTAAAACTATCCCTAAGGAATGGTTGTTTGACACTTGTTTATTTTGTAAGTTTTTATTTCACCTTTTCAACATTATAAATTTAATATTTTATTTTTTAATTAAAATAAAAATAAATTAAAATATAAATAATTAAAATTTTTAAAATGTACAAAAGTTAAAAAAACAAATAAAAAATCATTTATATAAAAAAATTGTCCTTCAAAAATAGAAAAAAAACTCAAAAATATCAAAATATAATTTTTTTTTTTATAAAATCATGTATCCAAAATAATAAGAAGGATCTAGATTTTTTAATTCAAAAAATAATTTTAAAAAAAATTTAACTAACACAAACCTCTATCAACAAAATTAGTCAACA